GTTTACACAATTTTTTTTTATTTTTAATATAACTTTAATCATGGATTATTAATATGACTTTCGATTAAATCTTAGATATGTGAATGGCAATGATAAATACATTGAAAAATAATGAAAAAAAGAAAAAAAAACAAAAAACAAAAGGATCCTTAGCCATTCTGATTAATAATACAAAGAAATGGTTCCATTTTTTAAATTTATAATTTTCATTAATTGGAAATGCCTAAATATATTCTTCTTGGGCAAGCCCAAAAAATAGGTTTAAAAAGGGTCCAAAACCTATAAAGACAAAGATACCAAGGCAAGATTTGGATTTTATCATATTTTTTGTGCGGTATGATTGAATTAACCACACCATTAATTGAATTTAAATATAAATTTTAATAAGATTTATTCAACATAAATTTTTTATTGATTTTTTTAATCACAATTACAATAATTTTTTTTCAATCTCATCTACAATAATTTTTATTATTGTTTTAAATATCACTAAACCATTTATCCAAATGGAGCCGAAGGTAGAACAAAATCGAGAAAAAGAAGTTCAATTGTCGTTCAACTTTCTCTTAGAATAATCAACTGAACCAATCATGTGTAGACACCACAATCTATTGGGGGTTTTAATTTTTTGTGTTAAATGTCGTAACGATTTTACGTCCGTTCGATGAATTTAGAAACAAAAAGGAAAAAAATGGAGTCGCCACTAATATTTTTTTACTTAAGTGCGATTGGCCATTTATTAAAACACATCCTTTTAATAAAATCTTAAAATTATTAAAATTTATTAAAAGAATAATTTTAGGGTTTGCGAACCAATCTAAGTCCCCACAACGTCCGTTTAAAATTATACCAATTAATTACATGTTATCCATTGATTTTGATAAAATCAGCCTTATTTTCGATGTTTAAAAATAATTTTCTTAATTTCCTTTGTTTATTGAAATTTTGGTTTTTTTTTTCATACCTTTTATTATTTATTGTTCCATTTTTATTCAAAAATAAATTAGAATATTTTTATTGAAATAATTCTTAAAATGTTTCAGTACATTTGTAACATTAGAAGAACTTTTTCTCACATCGAGATTTTTGGGCATCACTTCTCGGAATACCTTAAAATCTTATCATTAATGATTCGAATTTGTTTTTCATAAAATCTATGTATGCAAAAAATACTAATCTGTTGATGCACACATTTTATTCTCTTCTTTAGAAATTTTATTAATCTTATTTATTGAAGTATTATTTAAGTTTTTGAAAAAAAAAATTTATTATATTGAAGATTTTCTATAAATATTTCGATACATTGATAATATTTAAAAAATCTTTTCACCTAAGGATTTCTTCAAGCATCTTTACTCGAAATACTTTTAAAATCTCGTCATCGAATAAAATTTTTTTTCTCATTTTTTTATCACCTTATTTTTAGCAAATTAGTAAACTTACTTTACTATTTTTATAAAAAGAAAATTTTTATTATATTGAAAACTTTTTATAAATATTTCAATCCGTTGGTAGTATTTAAAAAAAAAATCTTTTCACCTAGAGATTTCATAAGTATCACTACTCAAAATACCTTTGAATCTCATCGTCAGATAAAAATTCTCTTCTCTTATGTTTTTACTCATTTTTATTATTTATATTAATTATTTATTATTATTTATTGTATATTTTTCTTTATTCTTGTTCTTTAAAATTTTAATAAGTTTATGTTTAGCAATTATTTTAAATTAATTAAATTAAAATTATTTTATATTTTCCACCATTAATTTTATTTTATATGAAAAGTTTATACAAAAATAAAATAAAAATAACAAAAAATCATAAATTAAATAATATAAATATATAAAAAAATTGAGCAAAAAATATAAAAGAAATAAAAAGTTATGACAAAAATGCATCAAATGCCCCTTGTCAACACAATCAAAATTCAAAGGCTGCTTAAACGGCTTGGTCAACTGGCTTAGACCCATAGTCAACGACTTGATCGGTTTGGCTTGGAAATATGGCTCAGTTAAGTTCCTGGCTTGGCTTGGTGGCTTGGCCACATTTCAATCAAAATGACATCGTTTTGATTTCACTATAAATAGCCCCCAAAACACCTAACTCTTTCATTTTTCCTTCCTTTTTCTTCTCTCTTCTTTCTTTCTTTCCTTTCCTAAAATTCTTCTTCTCTCACCTTCCCCAGTTTTTTATGGTTTCTATTGCTGCCAGCCATCATTGTCGGTCGCCAATGCTGCTGTCGGCCACTGTTAAATATGCCAAAAAATTTTAAAAAATACTTAAAAAATTATTTTCAACCCTCTGAACTCAAATCCAATCTCTGTTTCATGAGAAAATGCCTCGAACGGCTTAGATCAAGGCCCAAAATTTTGGTCAGAAAAAAAAAAATTTATGTTTATGGCGTTAAGATTCCTACTACCAAGGTTGTGTTTTTTTGGGTTCGTGTTATTTTTTTTGTTTGGTTTTCTTGGCTTTTTAACAGAGTTTTTTTTTAAGTGGTTCTTTTATTTTTCAGCAAAAAAAAATTTTGTAGAGGTTTTCCTCCTTTTTTTGTTTACAGTAGAGGTTTCCAAGCCAAGTTTCCAATTTCCAACATTAGCTTTCCAGAAATCGATGAACTTCTAACAAACGTCCGGTGATTCAACCCAGATTCTAATGTAAATTCTTAGAATTCGATGAAGATTCAATCGATATTATTAGAGTTCTAGAGAGAGAGAGAGAACAAGGGAAGAAGAGAGAAAGGAAGCAGAGAAAATTTGAAGAAAAAAAAGATTTTTGGCTTATTTATACCTTAACAAAATGATGTTATTTTTGCCTTAAATAACTTTTAGGATCTGCACGTTTCCATTTGGGCAACCCAACCCTAGCGTTAACCTGTGTTTGACTTAAGTCCAACCTTTGTCTCAAGTCAAGCTGAGCCAAGCCATCATCCCGAGCCGTTCCAACTTTTGTTCCTACAGCTGAGCTAAGCTCGTCAACTGTTGAACCGAGTCGCTTCCTATTTTGGTATTTTTATTTTATTTTATTTAATTTATTTGTTTGATTATTTTTAAAGCATTTTTCATGATTAAATTTTAGAAAAAAATTAAAAAATATATAAAACAAAATAAAATATTTTTTAAAATTTCTAGGTGAGAAATTTTTTTCTAAATTTGTCCCAAATGGAGGAATAATTTAAATAAAGTTTCAATAATAATAATTAATATTTATTTTTAATTTTTTAAAAAAATGAAAAACAAAAAAATTTTAATAAAAATTTTGGAATTAAATACTAAATACCCAATGATGAGATTCTTAGGAATTTCAAATAGTAAATTTCTTAAGAAATCTTTAGGTGAGAAATTTCTCTAAATTTGTCCAAATAGTGCAATAATTTAGATGAAATTTTAATAAAAATAATTATATTCTTTTCCAAATAAAATATTTTTTGGTTGAAAAATAATCAACAATTATCCAAGGATAAAAATCTTAAAAATTTTAAATGGTAAATTTCCTAAGAAATCTTTAGGTGAAAATTTTCTTTAAATTTGTTCTAAATAGTGAAAGAATTTAAATGAAACTTCAAAAAAAAAAAATAATTGTTATATTATTTTCTTTCCAAAGATAAAAAACAAAAAAAATATATATTTATAGACCCAAATGGTAGAAAATTTAGAATTCAAAAAGAAAATTTCTAAATTGGCCCAAATGGTAAAAAATTTAAAAATAAAACTTGTAAAATAAAAAATAAATTATGAAGATAAAATTCTTAATAATCACAAATGGATGATTATCTAAAAAATTTTTAGGTAAGAAGATATTTATATTTTTGGCCCAAATGGTGAATAAATTAGATATATTTTCAATAAAAAAATCAAACAAAAATAAAAAATGATTAAACTTTTTTCTAACGATAGAGCCTCTTTAATAAAACAAATAAAATTTTTGAATACTCTTGAGGTGAGAACATAATTTTAAAGAATTCTATCATATTGATGAAAAAATCTTAAAAATTATTTTCAATATTCAATATTAAAATTTAAAGTCATTAGAATTAAGACTTTAGGATAATTTAAAATAAAATAATATCATTCTTTAGATGAGCATATGAGGGTGCTATAACTTTTTTCATATATAGCCGAACTCTTGAACTTTATTTTAATTAATAAACCAGAACATATTCTTTTAGAAATCTTTAGTCAAGTTTAAGAACTCCTTAAAAAGATAAATTCATTAGATGACCAATCACCTTTAAATAAAAAATTAATAACAAATCCTTTTTTTATCTAATTATAAATTTCATATCTATATATTATAACACCATGCAACAAATATTCTTCCCAAACCTTCATAAAACCCTTCTTATTTATTACATCGTTTATTTATTTATTCAAATTTTCTTTTGGTTCTAAATGACTAATGATTTTGAAAGGTACTGGAGGATCTGATACGGAGGTCACTTGGAAAGATCAACAGAACATTGGCAAATTTGGAAGATTAAACAGTCAATTTCAATGGTGTCAGACTGGAATGCTGCAAAAACAATCTATCACACTGGAAAGTTGCAAAAAGAACAGAAAAAGATCTGGTATCACTTCATCCAATCATTGTGCTGAAGCGCTTGATCTAAATCATTAAATGGTAGCAATTGATTAGTACATTCCCTCAGGTCCAAATTTCCAGGCCAAAAATGCCTAGTGGTGGTGTTGTTTACGTCAGATATTGAGACACAAAATTTGGTTACAAATCTTGGTTTGCTCAAAGAAACTTCAAAGAAAAAATCATTGGTAGAATCAAAGACAGAAACCTCACTAACCAAACGTTTCCCCAAGGCCAAACATCAATATCTCAGATGACTGACCTTTTGTTTAAAAAAAAAGAAAGAAAGATGCACCCAAAATGCTGCACCATTCTCCTTTAGAGTACCCTTATCTTTTTTCATTTTAATCAATAGAAAGAACCTAAACATTGAAGCCAACCTCTCTTCTTTTGATCTAGATTTTTTTTTCCTGCCTCTGTACAAGACATCCCACACTTCAAGATGACTGCATCACAGAACATGCCACAGCCTGCGCCCAATGCCTTAGCTTAGTCTTCACTTGCTGAGGATTATCCCCTGGAAAATGGAAATATCAGCATTAACCTGATTTTGTTGTTAAATGAGATTTTTACCCTTATATTGTGCTATTTTCATAGCCTGTGACAATGTATATATTTTTTTCTCTTTATTGGTTTATGTGTTTTTGGCATTGAAACTTTACCTGGGCTGCAAATTTTCCAATCTGGCTCACTCCGAGGACTTCCAAAAGAGGATGACCAGCCACCAAGTGATGATGTGAAGGATGAACCTCCGCTTTGAGGGGTTGAAACTGGACTAGGAGAAAGCTGACGGTTTACAGCAAAATAAAGGTCTAAAGCAGGCAATGTGTTGCAGAGTTGTTGACCTTCTTCCTCTTTGAATCCGAATCCAAGTTCTATGCACCCTTTAAGTTCATGCAGGTCTTCATCAGTCAAGCCATTAGTTACAATAATTCCATTCTTTCCCCTCTCCTGGCGAAGAATCTGGCGGCGCCTTCTCTCCCAAGCAATGTCCCGGGACGTCTCACACATTGATAACTGCTTGGATAAACATCTCTTGTTTTTCATCAATGGTGATGGCACCAATGGCATACGTTGCAAGTCTTCTGTTTCTGATTCACGTAATGATGTTGATGAGTTTGATGATGATGATGATGATGAAGATGAAGATGTAATGGCTTTTGTTCTTGGATCTCCGTCCTTCACCATGTTCTTGTTTCTTGTTCCTAATAAATGAAACACAAAAAGAAGCTTATTGTCTCTGCTGGCCGCGGCAGCAACAGAAGCTGACGCGGCCAGGCAATGATAAAAACTGAGGGTTAGGGGTGGGGCTCTGTCGGAACTAGCTATATATTGTAAATAGGTTTTTTTTTTTTTTTTTTGGATGAAACAACACCAGCCTAATCAGGTTATGCCGGAGATGATTGGGAGGGCTTTAATGGAGAAAGAAAGGGTTGGCATCCATTAGGGGACTCGGCTTGTTATTCCACCATCCATTTGTAACTGTCAGTTGCAACCCCACAATGTTATATTTGGAGAGTTTGCAATACCAATTTTAGAGGGGGCGAAAGGGGAGTTCTGCTATGTCTGGTAGGTAGAGGGATGGCTCAGCTACATTCTTGTAATTAGATTGTATTTGCTAAAATAATTGTCCAATAAAGTTGATACCGGCTTTTACGGATGGTTAAGAAAATGAAATCATATGAACTAGAGACAATGACATGAATCTTCCTTAACGTTGCAACAGAATTCCTCTGTTTCCTGGTTTGCTTCCTTTAATCCAGGCAAGCCTTGCCATTGTTTGAGATTCCATGGGAGAATAGAGATTAATCCCATCAACTGCAAAAGATAAAAAAAAGTGGTGTGTTTAGGCGTACAGGAGAACTTAAATTTATTCTTCTTTCTTGCTTTGTTTTCCTGTACGCCATTGAATGCTCTTAGTGCTTCTTGGCGTTCTCTAACCATGACAAACAGAAACCATTTTTTGCTTTGTATTGTTTGGATTTCTCTCATTTTCGATGTCATTCTTGTATCAAGCCAGCCTTTGGCTGTGGACTGTGGCTCCAAAGGTGGCAAAGATGAAGATGGGAGGACATGGGAACCAGATACCAAGTACCTCCTTCCATCCAATAGTTCTGTTCAACTCCAAGCTGGATATCAAGACCCTTCACTTCTTTCAACAGTTCCATACATGAATGCCAGAATCTTCACAACCCCAGCAACCTACCAGTTCCCTATAAAATCGAAGGAGCGGTACCTGGTCAGGTTTCATTTTTATCCTTCAGCTTACCCCAACTTCAATATCACCAATTCCTATTTCTCAGTGGTTGCAGGAGGGGTCACCCTGATGAATAATTTTAGTGCTGCAATTACATGTCAAGCCCTCACACAAGCTTATCTTGTTAAAGAGTATTCTTTGGCACCCTTGGATTCTGAGGCTTTAAATATTACCTTTACACCTTCCACTAACTACACCAACTCTTTTGCTTTTGTAAACGGGATCGAATTGATTGCCATGCCAAATTTGTTTGGCATGACAAATATGGTGGGATATGATTCATCAAGTTTGGACGTTTCAACAGAGAATTTGCAGATGATGTTCAGACTGAATGTTGGTGGGCAGTCTATTCCTCCAAGCAAGGATTCTGGTGGCCTTTTAAGGAGTTGGTATAATGATGATCCATACCTGTATGGTGCTGCAATGGGTGTCAATCTTGAGGCAAGTAAAAATCTTCGGATTGATTACAAAGATTTGTCAAAATCTTCAGCTCCAGAAGATGTTTACAGGACAGCAAGGGCAATGGGCAGAGATTCTCAGTTGAACCTGAAGTTCAACCTGACATGGTTGTTTCAGGTTGATGCCAATTTCACATACATTGTAAGATTACACTTTTGTGAGTTCCAACTAAACAAAGTGAACCAGAGAGTTTTCAACGTTTACCTCAACAATCAATCTGCACAAGCTGATCCCGTTCCAGCTGACGTAATTGCATGGACAGATGGAAAGGGAGTTCCAACATACAAAGATTATGCAATTGTTGTCTCTGATGGGCCAGGTGATGAAATGATTCAGATAGATATGACTCCATCAACCGCGTCAAAGCCGGAATACTATGATTCTCAACTCAATGGAGTAGAGATATTCAAGTTAAATGATGGGAGCAAGAATTTGGCAGGCAGCAATCCGCAACCATCAGCCATGCTTCTTCAAGCTGAGAGTGAACCTGAAAAGTCGTTCGAGTCCAATAGTGGTATAGTGGGAGGAGCTACAGGAGGAGCTGCTGCTGCTTCTGTGGTGGTTGCACTATTAGTTGTTTACACAAAGAAGAAGAAGCAAGTCCAGGGGGTTGAATCACATACCTCTAGCTGGCTACCAATTTATGGGAACTCCCATACAACCGGAAGCAAATCAGATGGCAAGAGCAATAGTGGCCATCTTTCAGCACTGGCTCAAGGTCTTTGTCGCCATTTCTCTATATCAGAAATTAGACAAGCCACAAAGAACTTTGATGAATCTAATGTCATTGGTGTCGGAGGCTTTGGAAAGGTGTACAAAGGAGTTATTGATGGAGGCACCAAAGTAGCTATTAAGCGATCCAATCCATCATCAGAACAAGGAATTAATGAGTTCCAAACTGAAATTGAGATGCTTTCAAAGCTGAGACACAAGCATTTGGTTTCTTTGATCGGTTTCTGTGAGGATGGTGGTGAAATGTGCTTGGTCTATGACTACATGGCTCGTGGAACTCTTCGGGAGCACCTTTACAACAACAAGAAATCTCATATGTCATGGAAACAAAGGTTGGAAATCTGCATTGGAGCAGCCAGGGGACTTCACTACCTCCACACAGGAGCTAGGTACACCATCATTCACAGGGATGTGAAGACAACAAACATTCTCTTGGATGAAAATTGGGTTGCCAAAGTTTCAGATTTCGGGCTGTCAAAAACTGGCCCTGACATGAATCAAGGCCATGTGAGTACGGTGGTAAAAGGCAGCTTTGGTTACTTGGACCCTGAATATTTCCGAAGGCAGCAACTAACTGAAAAATCCGATGTCTACTCTTTTGGTGTTGTCCTCTTTGAGGCATTATGCTCTAGACCAGCTCTCAATCCTAGCCTTCCAAAAGAACAAGTTAGTCTTGCAGATTGGGCCCGCCTTTGTCATAAGAAAGGAGTTCTAGAAGACATCATTGATCCTCATTTGAAAGGAAAAATAAATTCAGAATGTCTGAAGAAATTTGCAAATACAGCAGAGAAATGCTTATCTGATCATGGAATTGAGCGCCCTAGTATGGGTGATGTGTTGTGGAATCTTGAGTTTGCTCTCCAATTGCAAGAAACTGCAGATGGTTCGAGTTCAACAAATGATCAAGGCAGTGTCCATTCAACAGATTCTAGTGTAAGAAGCCAAAGAGAACCATTACATGTAAGCAACCTCAGCCTTGGCAGTGAGCATGAATTTGAATGAGGAAAAACATCCTGGAAGCTGGTAAAACCATTGACATGACAGTGATCAAGATGGGAACCATGGAACTCAAGCATTACAGAAAGAGTAAAGAGGGTGATTTTATATTGTTTATATTATGTGTTATTTTCTTTTAGCATTGCATAAAATATCAGACAGGCGATATGAATGAGTATGAATTTACCATGTTACAAACTTGTAGCACTACTATTTTCTTGGATTCTTCAGTCTCATTTTCAGCACCAACTGAATTGCAAAAGGTGCCTTTTTTTGGCAATCTTATTATGATTCAATGAATTTCTTCATAATATCAGAAGAATCTGAAAATCTATTGTATAATTATCAATAAATGTCACATTAAGTCAAGTTGCTGGTATGGAGTATTCTCGTCTGGGAGTTTATTGAAGCCTAATCCATGAGTTTGTTTTAATCAAAATATTTATACAGGAATTTCATACAGTTGAACAAAATATTTATATAATTTATAATTTTATTTATAACATTTTAAAATATTTTTATTAACTTAATATTAATCCGAATAACCCAACTATTGAACCATTTAATCTGAGACTACAGCTTTAAAGGAATCAGCATATGATTTGGTTCTGATAACTATGGGTGGAATTGTAGATAAGATAATCTAAAATGCAACACAAAAATAATACAAAAAAAAAAAAAGGAAAGTGATATGATTTAAATTTTAGCAAATATCATATATGGGTTTAATAAAATTAAAAAACATATATTTTATGTTTTCGTATTGATACGAATTATAATACATAATTTTCGTATAAATATATAATATAAATTATCGATATTTTATATAACACAAATACATGAATCGTCAAATTTAGGTAAAAAGATTCATCACATCCTCTAATCCAACTATTAGAAATTGCAAAACTGAGCTCTTTCCACCTTTTTTTTTCACAACATTTTAAGTTCCTAAACCAAGTTATATTACTATAATTCAAAAGGACGAACTACATATTTTAATTTAATTATTCTTTAATTAGAATTAGAATTATTTTTAAGACAACATATTTTGTCCTGCTAATGCATGCATGTATAGGAGTATTTTTTTTTCCCAAAAATGTTTTAATTTAATAAAGAGAGCATGATTAATTGAATTCCATTATACACATCAAGATCTTTATAAAATATATCATGAGGACCCTATTTGATTTCTTTTTAGTTATTATTAATCTTATGGTATTAAAATCTTCTATTAATCAAAGAAAAATTGATGTTGCTTGCACATTCTCTTTTGACCATTAATAATCAAGAAAATTATCAATTGATCCAAGACATAGTCGTGTGCTGGTTACTGATTAATTTGATTGTGATTTCTCAATACTTAAAAATTGAATAACTAAAATATCAAAAGAGTTTTTGAATTTTATCATTTTATTTAAATAAATTTTTATATTTTTATTATATCTAAATAAAATTTTATTCTTTGGTTTGTATCCAAGTAAGCTATTATTTCAAATAAAAAATTGATTTATGTTAAGGGTTTGTTTAAGTACAAATTAAAATTTATGGATTTATTTGAATAAAATTAAAGTTTAAGGATTTATTTGAATGCAAACTAATGTTAAGGGTTTATTTTGATACAATAAAATATAAAAATTTATCTAAATAAAATGATAAAATTCAAGAATTTTTTAATATTTTAACCAAACTGAAATTTTCTGTTCTTGTTAGTATAATCTAATTCCCCTCAATTAGATAGCTAGGCATCTTAATAAAAATAACAAGAAGTTTCCTCCATCTCCATTTAAATATTCTTTGGATAGATTTCAATTCAGAAGTTTCATTTGAAATTTTAAATGGGGAGTTTGGCCACTTAGTATTAATTTATTATTACAAAAAAAAAAAGACAATATAATATGAAAGTGATTCTAAACAAGTCAATTGTAGTTAAAAGGATGTTTCTCTCAAATGATGGGAGGTAATGGAATTCTTGAATTTTTTTAAAGAAATTATTTAATTTTGTGTAAGTGAAGTTTTAAGATATTATAAATGGAACTAGTAAAATTATATATATTTAAACATATATATATGCTATAATATTCAAGATTTTATGATAAAAATAATTCCCTTCAACTATAAAATGGGATTCAATTCTAGCAATTATGTTTGCTTAGCTCAAAAAGAATTTAAAACCATATTTGTTAGGAGAAAGAAAATAAAAGAAAATAAAAATTAGGTTTTTTTTTAGTAATTTGATGGGAAATATTCTTTCAACTACTTAAAAAGTAGTGGAATTTTCTATTATTTATTTAAGAATGGTAAATGCACTTTCAATTAGATTTATGATTTCAATAATAAAAATTTACTATTTTTAAATATTGAAATTCCTAAAAAATATAAATTACATGATAAATTTTTATGGTTTTCTTTTTTTTTATATACATATTATTAAAAGAACCTTAGACAATGTTAAAGCTAAGCAATATAAAAAACAAAAGAAGATGAAATATAAGTAAAGTATCAAATGAAACAAATAATAAACAAACAAAAGATGAATGTGCTTGATCCCTGCCCATAAAACACACAAAATTCATCATAATCTTAACTAGCCTCAAGTTCATTATTATAATAATCCTGATTTTGCACACTTTCATTCACTTGTCAACATCAAAAAATTCAAAAAGAAGTTCGTAAATTTTAGGAAATTTATGAATAAGAAAAGGAAAATAAATTATAGTAGTAATAAAATTTAATAAAATAAAAAATTATAGTGAGGCAAATAGAAAAAATGAGAGTTAAAACTTGGGTTTGAATTTATTTCCACTAGAGAGAGAAAAACGAAATCTTATTTTTTTTAATTTAGTAATATTAGTATTCAGAGTATAAATTATATATCAATATTTATAAATTATTTAAATTTAATTTGAATAAAATTTAAAATTGATTTAATTATTATTAAATTAAGTTTGAGGAGCTTCATTTATTAAGTAAGTTGAATTTAAATTTTTTAATATCCGAATTGAATAACTTACGAGTTTAAAATTAAGTTTTTATATTATATATTTTTTATAATTTTGATTAAAAAATTATTATTTTATCTTTATATATATATATATGAATTTAAGTTTAAATTTGAATTTAAATACAAATAATCAAACTTAAAATCAAATAAAAAAATTAAATTTATTTTTTATTTAATAAATAAGATTAATAAATTAATTTAAATAATTTAATTTTTATTTTGAATCGAATTTAAATTTAAATTTAATTAAATTTTAATAAAATTTTATACTTAAATTTAAAATTAAATTTAAATTCAAATTTTTATTGAAATTACTCGATTATATTCTTAATTAGTACCGAACTAAAATAAAATTGAATGAAAAAGAACATAAAAAAAGTAAGTCCAAAAGAGGCGAGAGAATCTCTGTCAGTCAACTAGGTCTTCATAGTGGATCCCACATTGGGCAATAGCAGACAACAAAAGCCTGCCTAGTCAACATTCTTCTATACAGTGGCAAAATCTTTACCGCCCCTGGTCCATTTCACAATTGCATCAGCTGGGATGCCTAAAACCGTTGAGATCAAAATATTATTTGTTTTGGATTTTTTTAATCAAAGGAAAATTAGAAAAAAAAGTATTTGTTGGGGACCCACATCAAAATCTTTGTTAGAGACTTGAGTTCTTTTACTTTCTTTCTGTTTTGCCTCTGCAATGAACAAAACACATTTTGTTATTTTTTCTTTTTTATTTTTAGTTAAAGAAAAAAGAGGGGCTTTGTTTACTTTTGTTTCAAAAGTTCTAAATTTTGAGTATTACCCAATTTTAAAGCCGTGTTCTTGGTTCAAGTGTTGGTGTTTTATCATTTAGAATTTGGCCAATCCTAGTTATAGTTTTTGTTTAAGAATTTTGAGTAGTAATGGCCTTAAATGAAGGTCTGGTTTTGGGGGTTTAATGGGTTAGTGATAAATTTTTTTGCCATTGAAATGTTTGTTCATCTGGTTTTAAAGTTGCTTTTGGAATTTGGGTTTGGTTTTTTTTTGAGGTTTGAGTGAGCATGGAGGAGGTTGAACAAGCTAACAAGGCAGCTATTGAGAGCTGTCATAAAGTTTTTAGTCTCTTGTCTTTACCAAGGGATCAAGTTCAATGTAGCAGCTTAATGATGGAAACTATGGAAGCTGTGTTTAAGTTCAAAAAAGTTGTGTCTCTTCTCAGCAATGACTTGAGTCATGCAAGAGTAAGAAAGTTGAAGAAGTTTAGGTCAAGTTTACCTCAAAAAATTTTCCTGGAAGGTCCCCATTGCAGAACAATATTATCACCAAAACCCCTTCAAGTACACCCTTCTAATCTGTTTGAAAAACTACCCTTTGAAGCTGATGCTAGAGCTAAAAATCACTTGCAGCTGACACAAAAGTTGTTCTTTGATCAGAACCCTTCATTTGAAATGAATTCATCAGTAAAGCCATCACAAGACTTCCACTTTGTTCATCATCATCAGCAACAGATGCAAAGGCTTCAATTTCAGCAACAACAAATGAAACATCATGCTGATATGGTGTTTTCCAAGAATAATAATGGTATAAACCTTAAATTTGATGGATCCTGTTGCTCACCAACCAGATCATTTGTCTCATCTTTGAGTATGGATACGAATTCCTTTCATTTAATTGGCATGCCACACCATTTTGATCAAATCTCACAACAATCAAGAAGGACTTGTTCAGGTAGGGGAGAAGATGGCAGCATGAAATGTGGTACTACTGATAAATACCGCTGTTCAAAGAGGAGGTTAGATTCAATCTCTAGTTCATGTTTTTAAGGTTGTGTTATTGTTAACTCCAAATTACTCATCATTTCTGTTTGTTTTTTAATAGGAAACTGAGGATTAAGAGGTCTATTAAAGTGCCTGCTATTAGTAACAAAGTTGTAGATATTCCTCCTGATGAATATTCATGGAGAAAATATGGACAAAAGCCGATTAAGGGTTCTCCACACCCTAGGTAACTCCTCACCCCCTTAATTTTTTCTACCATTTGATGTCATATCAGCTTACTAGTTTTTCTTTTGTACAAAGAGGCCGTAATTTGAAAATAGATGAAAGGATTGTATGACAATTCTTAAGGATGGCTGCATGATGCTCGAGATTCTAGTTTCAGTATTAGATAATCATTCATTTTGATTTATTTAATTCGTTCCCAGTTATATGCATCTCTGTTAATATTGGCTATTGAAATTTTTGGCAAATTGTAAATGTGTTCTATTGCTTCTGTCGCCAAGATCCTTAGGCAAGAATTAATGGTTATATCATAACAAATTAAGCATGATCACTTGTAGAAAGACATGATTCTCATTCTATCCTTCGCTGATTACACAATCTAGTGTTATTGCAAGTTTAGTCTTAGATTGATTATGCTATTCTGAACCTGTTGCTGAAACCATTCCATTAACATTCTGGCTTTTATGATGCAGGGGATACTATAAGTGTAGCAGTGTGAGAGGCTGCCCAGCAAGGAAGCACGTCGAGAGATGCATGGAAGACCCTTCAATGCTGATTATCACGTATGAAAGCGAGCATAACCATTCAAGGTTACTCTCAACACAATATGCCCATACATGAAAACGCCATATCTACCAATTTGTTGTTCTTTTATAGAATAGGAATTGTGAACTTTTTTACTTTGAATTTGTGTTACCCATGTTTCATTTTCCTTGTTTTCAATTTGTAAGCTTTGATTGTAGGTATGCTTGAGAATTCATAGAATGAAAACAACAATGTTAACTACAATGAAGTAACTTGAGCAGTGCCGAAAACCTACGCTGCTGTGATCTGATTTCCTAATATTTTTGAGTTATTTGTATTAATGCTCTTCTGAAAGTGAGAGTTGGGATCCAATCCCTGATGTCCTCGTCGAGAGAATTCACACCATCATGCAGGGCTGAGTGCCATGATGTTCTTGGACCTCAACTCAAAAGGCTAATCTTTGGGATCGAGGTTCGAGCCTGTGATAAAGGCAAGAACCTCACTGGTTGCTCATTGGCATTGGGATATTGGCCTCATATTTTCTCCTCCATGGGCTCATCAAGATCAAAGATAATGAAGCTCCAAAACATTGCTTCTCTCCCCTAAATGACAAAAGAGTCAGATCATCCTCGTTTGCATCTCTAAACATTGCTTTGACTTTTAGACTTTTAGACTTGTTACTTTTTCAGAATCTTAGAAAGAGAGAGAATGAATTTTTGGTTTCTCTCAATAATTTCAATCATTTTCTTTGAATTCAATTAAATTTCAAGCCTCAAATTTTGAATGAAATTAAACTTGAAAATGATAATGTATTAATTAATCAATTCAATTCAATTACACGCAGAAAAGTTCTTGTGATTGTCCCTTTCTTACCAACTTTGTTATTCAATCATAGATGGAGTCGTGAAGGAAACTAAAGAAAAAACTTTTTTTCATACTTAGTCGACCCTCCTTCCTAGGAAGAAAATTTAAACATGCATCGTTTGATTATGTTATTTAGCATGAAGCATAAAATAACTTAATTTTAACTTGTTAAAAAGGGAGCTTATGTAATGTTAGGCATACTTTAAGATATCTTATACAACAATGCTAGGATGATTGATACAAAGAGAATTCAAAAACATGATGTACTAAAATGCATGAAAACCGGCAATCACATCATATTTGAAACATGCAATCTCTATTTGCTTTTTGTTATTTGTTACTTGTCGAGAACGAATACCTTTTACTGTGAGGTAGTCAAACAAATTGGCGCAGCACCATCTATAACATGTGCTGACAAGCTCAGGCATGATCACTGCTGATTGTCTCATCTCAGACAATTGATCGTGAACGCAATTCATCCATGCACTGCAATGAGCGTATCACATCAGGCCGGCCAACCTGAATGGACCACATCGTTCACTATCTCCCTTTCTCTCGTACAAGATATTCACTCTCCTAGGTAACCATAAGCCTTTGATTTCACTCTCATACTTATTTGAGCGTTGAAGGGCAAACGCAAGCCAAACTTTATCCTCTCCTAGTTTCTTTTCTTCTTCTTTCATATGCCTACCATCGAGTTCATTCCCGATCTGATCACTAATGGTATACAAATTATATCATCAATAGAATAACTTCAAATCATACGAGACAAACTAACCACTATAAACGACAAGATATTTTATGATTAATTAGCATCGATTACTCCAATAATTACTATCTGGAGTTCACTTCCATGATTGATTCATATATCAAATCTTTAATCCAGCTAACTATCTTATGAAAAAAAGAAAAAAAGGTGGTTGTCAGAGTCTTGAAAAAGTAGAAATATGGTGCCAACTGATTTTCCGATTAATCAACATGATATTAGAGCTGAACGCTTGAAATTTGTGGATTTAAAGGAATTTATTCGCATATCTTTTTCAGTTAAATTAAAAATTAAAAAAATAGGAATACGTGGCTTAGACTCATAAACACAATATATGATTTCTTTGTAGCATCTTGAAGCATTTAGATTGTAAAGTGCACTTCATCTTCATTGACAAAGTTTTGTTATATATTGCCATGCCAATGCATCAAACCCGGGTGTTTTCTGTTCATGCAAGTTCCTTGGGAAACTTACTAAATGATAACCCAACTTTGCTGCTGTTTATACCTATATATTCAAATATGCAAGCTATGAGATGGAGAAACATGAGATCTGGCCTTTGTTTTAGGCCAATAGTTTTACTAGAATGGCTTCAAGTTATTTTAACTATTACATGCAATCTTGATATTATCAATTGCAAACCTAATTCCCATTAGTTCTGCTACACTCATTGGAATTAAAACTACTAATGATTTTGAACATTGGCATTTCAACCTAATAACAGGTAAAAAAACACTTTCTTAGTTGTATTGTTTTGTTTAATCTAAAGGTCCCTTTGGTAGCGTGGTGAGAGTCCATTTCGAGACGAAGGCAGGAAATGTGTGAAAGGGGCTCTGGCAACCTGCCTGCCCCTGTCTTCGCTCTTAAGTCTCGTCCACTACGACCTAGCTGTGTTTTATAAATGGATCTCTAAAAGTGTTATCATAAAACGACATCGCAATGCAATGAATAACTCTTACCACATTGCCAAAGGGAGTCTAAATCAGTAAAAAAAATCTTAAGATTTGCAATCTTGACATCACCTTTTTATCTAAACTTTATACTGTCTTGGAAGCTGATCAAGGCAATTTCATTGGTTTTCTCTGCTCATTCATCTTACTTATACCCAATATTAGTTTTTATTTTGAAAGGCAAAACTCCGAAATCATAATGAAAGAGGAAAGAGAGCGGTTAAAAATAAAAGTTGAGAGTAATTTCAACATTTATATTTCGACATTCAAGTCAGTGATCAACAGTCAGTGGTCAACTTAAGAAGTAGGAAGTAGGAAGCAAGAAGGATAAAGCAAGAAACTTGAAAAGACAAGAAGCTTGAAAGGTACTTAAATGATACTATTTATACTTATAAAGTGAGGATTACAGGCAATTTAGATAGTTTTGAGCTAACATGATAATTAATTATTCACTTAAGATATGTCAAGTTAGTATTTTAAGGATACAACACGTGAATTTGATAAGGTAATTAAGTTCACGTAAATCTATAAATTCAAATCGATTTAACATATCAACTAAATTAAAAATTTTAAATATTCTTGGTTATCTTTGAACTTGTATTAATAGGGAAAAAGGTTATTTTTGCTTTTTAAATCTAAAAATACCTTTAACAATTTCATACTTTCTAACTCAAAATATGAGCTTGAACAATGTAAGCTTGAATGATTATTCATACTAGTTCAAGAAGAACACATGATAAAAAAGACAAGAAATGCTTAGCTTTTGTCAAGTGATAGGCAATTTGTTGCCTTTCTTGGTTCATGGAAAATCCAAGTTTTTACTTAATCCTTCATGTATCTTCAGAAATTTTAGATGGTTTTCACTAAAGATTCAATAATTGTAAGTTGTCTAAAGAAAAAATGGACATATTCAAGCAAAGTGTGTTTTTTCTTCATGGATGTGTTTGTGTTCTATTCATTGTGTTATTGTTGTTTCAATTTAATACTCACAATGTGGTACATCTAAATAACAATTTGAACAATTTGAAGTATTAAAATTTTGTTCACATCTAATTGAATTTGTAAACATAAATCATTCATTTTTTAAAAGGATTATATTAATATAATTTTAATATTATAAATTATTACATTTATATCAAGTACATTCAATTTAAATCATATTTCGATTATAATTTTAAATATCATTTTTTTTTCGTTTTTTGTAATTCTTAAACCAAATGACCCTATTATAACCCTACAATCACAAATGATTCAAAAATCCCAATTCATTAAATAAAATTCTCTAATAACATATTAAAATCTCCTCAAAGTTTAAAAAAAAAAAAGATTTGGACCATTTCAAATTGGAACAAAAAAATCTTTCAATTTTCTTCATCAAATTTCCTAATTAAAATCTCATTAGAAAGTTATATCCTTACCTAGAAATCGAATCAAACATCGTAAAATTCCATCAAGTAAAACTCAATTTACTCACATTTCAAATCAACTCAAAAACACGATAGCAAACTCTCACTTCATCCTTACCCCCGCTTCCCTTTTACCCTTCACGATCCGCGCCTTATCCAAACTCTTAATCTCAACCGTCAAAAGCATTCCAATCCAGCCGCCAAAATTTAAATTTTCTAGTAACCAAATCGATCCGCGTCATTTCCTTTTCCACCAATCAGCTTTCACCATTTCCCTTATAAAATATCCCTCTAGCAACTGTTATTTAACATAAAAATAAAAAAAAAATTCAAATCTTTTCCAACTCGTAAATTCGGTGAGTTGACTCATGGCCACCGCTGTAGCTTCCGTCGCGAAGAAAACTGCTGCGGCTAAGAAAGCGAAATCGGCTTCTTCGCATCCTCCATTTTTTGAGGTGATTGTCTCTCACCCTAGATTACTCTCTGTTAAGATTTTTTATCGATTTTTAATTCGATTTTTTGTGATTCTTTTTTGCAGATGATTACGGATGCGATTCTTACGTTGAAGGAGAAGACGGGATCGAGCCAATATGCGATCGCGAAATTCATCGAAGAAAAGCATAAGCACTTGCCGTCGAATTTTCGAAAGCTTTTACTTGTCCAGGTGAAGAAGTTTGTTGCTTCTGGAAAGCTCGTCAAGGTTAAAGCTTCTTTCAAGTTACCTCCGGCCTCTGCCGTAGCTAAGAAGCCTGCCGCCGTGAAGCCTAAAGCTGCATCCTCTGTCGCTGCGAAATCGAAGCCGAAGACAGCTAAAGCCGCGACAAAACCGAGGGCGAAAACGAAAGTTGCAACGCCTGTGAAGCCAAAGGCTAAAATTGCGGTGAAACCAAAGGCTACTCCAAAGGCTAAATCTAAACCGGCGGCCAAGCCAACTAAGGTGGCAAAGACGGCTAAGAAGAGTTCGCCAGGGAAGAAAGTAAAGGCTCCAGCTAAGAAGAAGGCGGTGGTGACGAAGAAGCCTAAGAGTGTGAAATCGCCGGCTAAGAAAGCGGCGCCAAAGAAGGCGAAGAAGTGAGGAGAAAGGAGTGGTTGCTGTGGTGGTTTTTTTTGTCGTTTGCAGAGGGTGTAAATTTGCTGGTGAAATAGGGGTAGTTCGGGGATTTTATATTGATATAAGTATAGTTTTTTTTTTTTCAGGTTTTTTCTTTTTTTTTTTTAAATATAATTAGGTTGTAATTGTAGCTTTGCTTTGGTAGTTTAATGGAAAAAAGAAAATTGTTGTTTGATCTAATTTTCTTAATTTTTTATGTGACTGTTAAATATTATACCAAATTGAATATATTAAAAACTTGAAGCAAATTACTTTTCAAGAAAAAAAAATTCGTGGCTGGAAAAATACAAAAATTATAACGGGGATATAAATTAAAATTTTAATAAAAATTATATTATACATTTTAAAAAATAAAAAATATTTTTCGTGTTTGATAAGAAAAATAAATTGTGATGTTATAATTTTTATGTTTTATATTTCACAAAATAAATGGCATGGATATTTCTTTAGCCCGAGCCCACCAAGCTCTCTTCGACCAACGGGAATGTCTCCGAATCTGAATCCTGAATCAGAGGTTTAGCTTTTGAGCAGGTGGGTTGCCTCAACTTTTTCGATTTTTTTTTTTTTTTTGTATTCATTTGAAGGGCCGTCTGCTGCAGCCCAAATCCAGTAATGAATAGAGGCATGAATGGTATATTAATATTCTTAAATTATTTAAGTTTAATTTGAATTAAATTTAAATTTAATTTAATTATTATCAAATTAAATTTAAGTTTAAATTATTTGATTTATTAAATAAATTAAATTTTAATTTGAATATTTTAATGTCTGATATGAATAATTCATAAGTTTAATTAAATTTTTATATTTTATTTTAATTAAAAAATTATTATTTTATTTTTATATATAAATTTAAAATTGAATTTGAATATAAATAATTAAATTTGAAATCAAACGTAAAAATTATAATTTATTTTTTATTTGATAAATAAATTTGAATTACTTAATTTTTATCAATTTAAATTGATTTTTGAATAACCAATTTTCAGTCAAATTTGAGCTCCTCGCTGTCTCGACTTCATATTGACAAGAGAAACATTAGTAATTCACTGGTTGGTGCACCAGAAAATGGAGAAGCTATGCATAAGGCTAAGAGCAAATCATACTTGTGGATGTCAAACAAATCATTAATGGTTCAACGTTCAAAAGGGTGAGATTCTCAAAGTTCAAAATGTGTGCCTTTAAGGGGAGGATTTTATGTTCTCAGTGGATCCAATGATATATTGCATTGAAGCAACAAAATTCCCGTTAACTCAAGCTTGTTTAACCTTCTAGGGGTAAAGGGATTTCAACAATGTATCTCCATAAATTGTGATTTCTTGGCCAACAAAAAATATATAGAAGACAACAAAGTTTTACAGGTATCCTTGCTTGACAAAACCCTGATTTTTTAACCGGTTCGGAGAGATAATGTTGCGAGCGAAGTCCTAAATAAAAAAAACCCGATTTTCCGTAGCTCCTGCTAAATGCTTTTATTCATGTTCAGGGTCACACTTTCATGTCCTTGATACTTTCTAAGAGATTGTTATGGTTAACAAACCTATTATGAAAATTTCATATGAAAACAAGGCATTTCATCAACATTAGAATCAATAACTCTTTTTATATATAACAAGATATGTAACAATGTAACTTACAAAACATATACATATACAATTCAAATCAATGCAAACCAATGACAAAACAAGTCATCCCTGGTGAAAAGAAACAGGCTAATTCCTTTCAGGACATGTAGTGAAATTCAAGACCATTTCCCCGTTTTAAGAGTTAGTAAAAACCGGATGTTCATGACTGAACATTGATGTTAACATTACTCTGCTCGGTGATTTTAGTAGGAGCAGCTTTTGTTGCCTCTTTTACCTGTTTTGCTCAATCTTTCACCTTGCCATCTCCATTACTGCTCTGTCCCTTACTTTTGACCTCATTCACAGTAGAGGATCGTTCTCTATGGATAACTAAGCTGTGTCGGCGAGTCCGACAGCAAGCTTTTGCTTTTTCATCCTGAGATAAGTCGACTGCATCACCACAGCTCTTTCTCCGAGTAAGATTTGGTGACTTTGGCCGAGTCAATGGCAGCTGAAATGAAATAAAAGCAAGAATGAAATGTTTAATTACCGACCAAAGCTGCATGAAATTCGAAGGGATATATGTCAGATATGTATTTTATCTTTGAGTATTTCTGTATGTAAAAGTTGATATGCCTCAGCAGAAGGCCTTCTTCAATTGGTAATGGTGTGTCCTGGTTTAGGCCGTAATGGCTGCTTTAGAAGCACTACTTTTTAAGCAATTTTACCTCAAATAACTTTATAAGCCTTCTGATGGTTTACACATCACACAATAATTCCTTTTCTCCAACATCTGAAGCCCGAATCATCGACATCCTAAATGAATTAAGAAGGTTCCATTTTCAGTCGATTCTATGTTCTTTTTTTTTTATTATTTTCATCCTGTCAATTAATTCCAACGTGGAAAAATTTTCCCATCTTGCTACTTCAAGGACTCATAGAGAAACAAGGAGAAAAGATACAACAGAATACCTTCTTCAATTCAACCTTTGGTGGAGGTCCTTCATGGTAGAAACTAGGTATTGGATTTGCTTTTACAACCATGCTCTTTCTAAGTTGCTTAAGGGCTGCTTCTTGCTCTTCCTGCAAGAAAGCAAGGAGGGCTCATTCCGTTAATTATCGAAATGTATATAAATGTCACGGATATGATTGTCCAAGGAGACCGACTCTAGCACAGAAGAGATATTTTAAATACCATGTACCTTGGTCCTGGCCTCACACTGGCTTCTCTCTGCCTCCATAGCTCGGTGTTTTTCCTCTAACTTCTGGTAAAACTGGATGGAAAAGTTATAATTAGGATAACTTGAAAATGAAATGGGGGAAAATCAATGACTGAAAAAAGTATGCAAATAGATTTCAAATATCAACTGTTTGGACAAAGAATATACCTCCTTCCGTTTCTCAGCTCGTTCAGCACTTTTAAAGGTTGGAGCAGTTCCAATAGTAACTCTCGATCTAGCAGTACCAATAGACGCAGCAGTACTAGAGACAGCTAAGGAAAATTCAACTAAAACAATAAAAGGCCAATTACACCACCAAAAACCCTCCCCTTAAAAAGTTAATAAATAAAAGTGAGAAATACGGGCATAGAGTTCAGATAGGGAAGTCCCTCAACAATAATAACAAGAAAAAAAAAAACCTGCTAACAACAAGCCTATAGCATCATATCTTAACTTCTTAAAACCAAATAGAGGATACGAGGAAGCGACAGACCAATTATCTTCTTCATCAGGATGCTTCCTGTCAAAAGGTTGCATTGGCTTCCTTGACATCCGAGGAGTCAGAGGAGAGCTTGGCTGAAAGAAATGGCAAAATCTCAAAGATCAACACCGTGCACAGATCAACAATTAAGTAACATCAATGATCTTAAACCAAACAGTTAGAATAGTTTAGACAGATGAACAAAAACTGGCAGCAGAATGGAGCATGCTTTAAGAGCAAAGCAAGAAAAATATCAATTATTGCATATCATAATGTCATTTCAACATGCATGTCAAAAGACTGTAAATTGCAGATAATAACAGGACAGAAACTTCCACATTATTACCAAATTTCTTTTCAGAAAATTCTATATTGCCATATTTCCAAATCTCGTAATGCAGATAAAAATGTTAAAGGACATACTCTAAGTGCATATCATTTTCTTACTGGTCAGGCCGCTTATATCATATGCTGTTCTTCGGAGTTGTCTTAACAAAATTAAATCCCAAGTAGATTGGATCAGGTTGGAGTGGACTAAAGGTCCATATTGTTTTCACCGGATCAGAAATTTCATTATCACTCAAGAATTTTAGTTACCTCTGAATTCCTTTTAGCAGTAGGTGAACGTGTAGAATTAACACTTGCCGTGCCATTTGGACCAGCTTTTGAGGTCGTGTGGTGGACATGAGTATTTCCAGCACCACTCGATTTAGATGCAGTGGTGCCTAACTTCTTATTGTTAGTGGATTCCTGATCTCCAGTCTTTTCATTTTTCTCATCAGGGATGTTAGTACGAAAATTTGTGATTTTAACACCCAGCACATCTTGATTCTCAAGACCATTCTCGACAACCGATTGCTCTGCAGTGCATTCTTTGACCTCAGAGTTCTTTGACTCAGGGCCTTCTGAAACTTTTGGATTACCATTTGAATTCACCATACCATTCGATTTCACTACACCTTTTGGCTTATTGTCCATGTGCACATTTACGAGTTCCCTCCCCATCAAACTGCATTAGAGATAAGTTGAGCATCAGAAATAAGTTTAGCTCAGAAAAGCCAAACTCAGGAAAAAGAGAAAAAAAACAAAAGAAAGGTAAAGAGATAATTCATTTCCATATTGTGTCAATATGCATCAGATGTTTCATGCACTCAAATCTCAAACAAAGTGATCACTGCTGAACATATTAAGCTTAACAAGATACATGACATTGAAAAACAATGGCAGCCGGCAATTTCAAGTTTCCAAAACAAGAACTGCACTAAGAATGACAAGTACTACATGATTATAAGAGATTTTAAACAAGTTTCCTTGTGCATATATAACCCACGGACTTAAAACCCGCATATCAAATAAAACATATTTTTCATGTAGATCCACAAATGATCTGACAGTACGAATTCCACATCTTAGCTAAAACATGCAATCCTAGCTGAGATTGAATAGGAATTACTTTACATTCACTCTTAGCTAATCTTGTCTCCTCTTAATGTGGAAGCTTTCCAACAGCCATAACATGCACATCAAGTGATAAAAATCTTTTATTCCCAAAGAATCGCCTTTTTTTTCCAAACCTTGCAATACTTTCACTTTGTTTCAAGCTTGGGGTACAAAATGGTGACCAGGGTATTCCCCATAGAAGAATCCAAAGGAGGATCTATGGAATCATTTGGAAGTTCATATGAAATGAAACCTTCAAATATTAATTAAGGAATTTAAGACTCTACTCTAGTATTCAAAGTTATCTCATTCACATATAATTCTAACAAGTATAACACAAAAAGGAAAAGCTACCTCAAAGAAAATCTATTCTTTTGAATGAAAAGAGAAAATGAAGATGTATGAAGCCAAAAGCAGGAAAAGGAGAAAAAAAGCATAATCTTTCAGGTTAGCTTATAAATCAAAACAATATTAAGGAAACAAAACACTCATGTTCACTCGATGACAGGACAAACAGAGAAGATAAGTTAACCAAAAAAAATTGCTTATTTAATTTAGCAACCACAAATCGAAGCCAAAACAAAAAGAAATGAATCATGCATGAGAAAAAACACGAGAAAGCAATAATAATAATAATAATAATAATAATAACAAATCCAAATCTTTAGACAAAAATAGAAAACTCAGAAATCAAAAACCAAGAGAAAGAAGAAACTTTTAGCAAGATTTCTCATTTCTTGGCAAACATTCACAAAAACCAAACATAACAAAGAAAAAAAAAAGAAAATGGCTTTACATTCAACTCAAGAGAGCTAAAAAAATTCCACAAATCCAGCACTTTTAGACCAAACTGGGAAAACCCAGACTTGAAAAACCCCAGATGGATGAAGAGAAAAGGAGAAATTGACCAAAACTCTTCATTTCTTAGCAAACATTCCCATAAAACAAACACAAAACTCCCAAAAAAACCGTAGCTCCAAAACAGCTAACATTAATAAGATAAAAGTTAAACAAAAAAAAAAAAAACAGAAAACAACATGGGAATGAAGCAAAATACCTTGAGAAAGACAGCTAGAAGAAAAATCAGTTAAACAGATCAAACCACATCGCTTATGTCAAAACCAAAAACCCAACCAAAAAATAGATAAGAACTTTGATAAGTATTTTCTCATACAGTTTTTTCTAGCTTGATCTGACAAGATCTTCCACCCCGTTTCTTCTCTCTTCTTCTTCTTTTCTTCCTTACAGTTTCTCTCTCTCTATTTTAGTGTGCCTTAATAACAGACGAAATCTTTTCTGTGATTTTCCATTTATTCAGGCTTTTAAAGCTCTGTATTTTTTTTTCTTTGCTTCTTTGCAATGTTGAGCTGTTGGTTATTTATAGGGAACAGTTTTTTTCAGTTTCTAACTCTGAAGCCATATTTTTTTTCTTTCACGGCGGTACATTATCCTTACAATTGTTTATCTTTAATTCTTTTTTTTTTTTTTACTTATTATTACTTATTTTCTTGTTCCTTTATCCTTTCATTAGTTAAATTTTTGGTCAATTGATAAATTAATATAATAAAATTTAAAAAAAAAAAGGTTGATTATTAAAATCTAGAATCTTAAATGTAATTAAAAAATCAAATAAAAATTATTTTAGATTATAATCTTTTATAAAATATATTTAAAATATAAAAATCTTATTTCTTTAATTACATTTATTTTCTTTTAGTTTTCCTTTTTTCCTTCTTTATAATGTTTATTTTATAAAATATATTTAAAATAAAAAATAATATTTATATTATGATTATGAGTAAAATAATATTTTTTAAAAAATAGATATATTTTGTTTTTTAAATGATACGAAATTTTTTTAAAATGATTTTAAAATTTTAAATTAATTTTAATTTTTGAAAATATTTTTTGTAAAAAATATTTAACTAATAAATTATATTATAATAAAAAATATAAAAATATTATTTAAAATTTAATATTTTATAAAATATATTTGAATTATAAAAAAATTTCAAGATAGTAGCATATTTAGTTTTTAAACTTTGAGCAAATTTCTTTATCCTTTCTATGCCAAATGAGATACCAACTAATGTTTTTCATGATGTTAGCTAATAATTATTATCAATTTAAATGGTTTTATATATGAAATTACTTAAATAAGATAATTTTTTATAATTAATGAACCACCTATAAATTTTTAAAATTTAAAAATCAAAATAAAATTTATCTCAAAATTTAAAGATTATTAATGCTATTAACTCTTAGCCTATGTTTGGATGGAGTAATTAAATTCCAATTATCAATTAAAATGTCAATTTTAATGAGATTCATTTAATATAAAATTTTATTTTTTTTATCGTAATTATAGAAATTTTTTAAAATTATAATTATAATAACTTTTATTATTATTTTTAATCTCATTATAATCAAATTTTCGTCCATCCAAATGGACCGTTAGTTTAATTATGAAAAGAAACTTTGATAGGAATTTAAGTTTGAACATGTTAAGAAATAGGGACCAATTCAATTTAATGGGATGTTTTCTTTAAATACTGAATTTTTTTTTGTGGTATTTATTAAATTTGGATAAAATGTTGTTAATAAGTGCACCGATGGTATTTATTAAGACTTTTATTTAAAGAACATCTTTGCGCTTTGCATAAATTTTCTCACCAAAAAAAAAATTATGCATAAATTTAAAAGCTCCAGATATTCCATATTTACAATAAATTTTTACATTTTTAATGTGAAAATTTATACTATTTTCTTAAATGAACTGGTGCAATAGATACTTATGAAGGATAATTAAGTTACTAATTTAGATAAAATTTTTGAATTTAACGTATTATTTTCACTAAAATTTAAAAAATAATATATTAATTATACATTTTTAAATTGGCAGAAGATGATAAATTTCTAGCAGGATGATTTGAAACTAAAAAAGAAAAGAGAAAAGCAAAGAAATGAATGATAGATATGATCATTCAAAATCATGGTGAAACATCAGATATCTTTTTCATAGAATCTATGAAATTGTTTAAAAAATTATGTATCTTTTAAAAGGAAAACAAAAGAAAGAAATTTTACTGTGAGTGATATTATCAACAACACTTTTTTAATAGTGTTGTTTTTAAAAGATTGTCAAGGGTTTTTTTTATTTATTTTTAATTTTTTTTTATTTTGACCTAATATGTAATTTTATTTTTTAAATATTTTTTAAATATCAAAATTTTAATTAATAAAAAAAACTCCTCTTATGAAGTGAATTAATTATATAAATAGAATTATCATTTATTATGTTATTATTTATCTTAAGTTTTAATTTAATGAATGATGAAATTAATTATGATAAAATTAAAAATAATAATAAAATTTATTATAATTATGATTAAAAAAATTAATAAAAAATATATATTAAATAAATATCATTAAAATTAATATTTAAATTTAATTAAACGTGCAATAAATTCAATCATATCACAATAAATATAAATGACCACTTAATTAATAATAGCCAACTATTGAATTTTCACAATCCTAGGATATCCAACTAGAAATTATAACAATTTAATTTGGTGGTACCAATTTCATGAGTGCCGTAATAGTATTCCTTTTTTGAAATGAAAGATAACCAAAGAGAGGGCTGTGATCTAATAAATGTGTCAAATCTAGTCTTATCTCAACTAGCTACAGCTGGTCAATCAAATCATGATTCAAACAGAAGATTTTAAAATATTCGATTAGGTTTAAAAGATAATATTTAATAGATTTAAAATTAAAATTTAAATATATTAAATAAATTTAGATAAATTTAATAATTTAAAATATGATAAAAATAATATAATTTAAAATTTTAATAATAATTATATAAATTTAATAAAATTAAAAATCAATATTATATATTTTCGTGTTACGAATTATAATATATAATTTTATTATAAAATAAAATATGAATATATAATTTTGATATTTTATATTATATAAATATATGAAGGTCAAATTTAGATTTATGATTCAAAGTTAACACATATTTTTATCTATAAATTACAAAATTTTTATTAAAAAAACTAAAACAAACTCTATATGGGTCTAATTGGAAAGTTATTTTTAAAAAATGAAAAAAAAAAAAAGATCAATGTTTAATGACTTGGGAGAGGTAGATAGACATTGCATCTCTAACAAAATTAAAATGTTTCTTTTCTCTAAAAAAAAAAAATTGAACTTGAGATTTTGTATTTTAGTGCACTAGTCATTGGCACATTTATAATTTTAATTATGGAAGTATGGCTCTTTCTGTAATCACTCAAACATTTTTATTTTATCAATTCATTACTTATATATATCTATATATATCTATATATATATATATATATATATATATATAACAATATAGAAGAAGTTTTGTTTATTCATAATTTTATAGTATTGTCACAAAATATCGAACAACCCAAAGCTTGTTTGATGATATTGGCAAATACAAAAGAGTAGGTATGAAATATAGAAATGCATCCATTTTCATGCATGAATTGATTTTGCATAGATTTGGCTACTATGTGGTTCACACGTTAAAAGAAAGACTAATGCCCGTATATCAACTTTTCTTTTTAATTTTTTATACAGGCAAATTGTTTGCAAGATTCTTTATCATTGTTGTGGTTGGTTGTAAGCAAAAAAAAATCAATATTTTGAGCTAAGTGCTCACTTTAAAGTTGAAACTTGATTTTGGAATGATAAAGAATCTTGCAAACAATTTGCCTAAATAAAAAATTTCAAAAACCAACAAGGCTCGATTGATAAATATTATTCTCTTTAATGCAATTGATAATTTATTATTGAGATTATCTTAAATATATAATTTATAATTATTATTTTTAAATTATTACATACGATACATTTTATTTTAATAAGATTCTAACGGTTTCTTTTAGACATTTTTCAGCTGCCTTCTTTTGAATTTGGATATTTTTAATTATAATGAGATCATACAACCATAAAATTACTCCTAAAGTTGTAATTAATTAAGGCAATTTATTCATGGATTTTTTCTATATATAGAGTTTGAAGTCTAAGAAATAAGGAAGGAAGAATTACAAATGTTCGGAATCAAATTTCATGAAAAAAATCTAAATATTCGTTTGATTTATGCATATAATATACAAATTGATCAAATTTTTAAGGACTGAGAGTTTATGAAAACTTAGACGCAAGATATTTTATTTTTTATACGTACTTAAAATTAGTAGAATTTATATTTTAATCGTTAAAATTAAATTTTTAAATTTTTATCAATAAATCACGTAATTATTAACAAACATTATATTTTATTTTTTTTAAGGTGCACCATAAACTAAATAAATAGGAATGAGAAACTAAGAATAGATTAAAATTTAAAAAAATTGGAAGTGGATGGAGAAATTGGGGAAAAAATTTATGAAACTCTTAGGTGAAGGAAGTGATAGTGGGGTTCATGTAGATATGTAGGCAATTGTATGGACCAAAGTGGAAACAAAGATTTAGGGTATATATTTGATTTGGAATTTTGTTTATTTTTGTATGATGTGATAAGCATCTAAAAGGCAAAGGCATTGTTTTCTTTCTTATATATATATAAAAGGGTAGGCAAATGAAATTGGGTTAATAATAAGGTGGTTCCAAAAAAGAAAAATAGGATAAAATTAGGTGATACCTAATTTTTTTAGGTCAAGTTAGTTAAAATTTCTATTGATTATTATCATTTACTTATATAAAAAAAAAGATATAAAAAAGAATAAAAATTTTATAAATGGATAGATTTATTTATTAAATTAGAAAAAAAAGTGATTGAGTTGAAATTTCATTATTACAAATAATATTTGCAATCACCAAAGGTTCTAATCTAAGGAAAATTAATGTTTATGAACTTGTTAAAAATGGGATTTTTTTTATAAAAATTATCAAAATTTTAAAAAATTATAAATACTAAAAATCGAACTATTTAAACTAAATTTTTCATGAAAGTTTAGCAATTATTCAAAACTATGAAACCTTAATTAAATTAAGATTTCAATCTCCTTCATTACATTGAAAGTTCAATTAATTTATTCATATTTATGTCACATCATATATAACATGTTTAGATCATTTATAAATCTTTGAGGCACCAAATTAGACTTTCCCTTCCATAGAAAAGCAAAAAGGATTGGCGGAAATATGGCGCCACTAACTTTTTTAGGTTTTTTTTTTTTTTTTTTTTTGCCAAAGATTCGGTGGATTTAGTCAAATAAACTATTTAATTCTTATAATTAAGCTATAATATTCCTTTTAGATAACCTTCTTGGAAGCTAAGGTCGGTCCCAAATCTTGATTACTTGATATTATCACTTAAAT